TATTTGTAGTCGTTTTTTAATGGCGGTTTACTTGACTCTCGAGTAAACTTGTTAACTTCCTACAATTGTTGAGTGATGTATTTAATAATAATAATAATAAAATATAAATGACTGTAGTTACAAAAACAATTTATGATCGAGAAACTTTATCACAGATTAATTTCCTTTAATCGTGTTCTGTCAATTCGTTAAAAACAATTATAGCATAGCATATATGTTATATGAATTAATCATAGTATTCAAGTAACCTAACCTAACCCATTACATTCAATTATACAGCCAATTTATTTTATAATAAATTATATACTTTTATATAAAATTTTAACATTGTTGATGATTCATTTTTATATGCTTTTATTAAAATGCAAACGCAATAATGTTTAATATATTCATTATATTATGTTATGTTACGCTTTATGCTACTCATGTATCGTTAAGAAAGAATTACAATTAAAGATTCATTAATTTATTTTCAAACAATTTTTTTTTTGATCTTTAAAATTATTCTGAAATAAATTAGACTGTAAATTGCGTAAGCCACTTACTAAATATGTATAAAACAATAATAGATAGTAATTATATGTTATTATTTTATAATAAATATATAAGTACTATTACCTTGCATTGTTATGCAATTACTTAAATTTATAATTTTTAGGAATAATTATATATATATATATATTAATTATTACATTTGTATCTATCCATATTTATTATTAAAAAGTATTATAATAATCACAATAACTAAAAGTATATAATTAAAAAAAACATTCTTAACTCGCACGTTCATGTGTAGCATTTAAAAGTGACTTGATTTTTATTAATGATAATACTCAACACATTTTTTTTTTTTTATAAACAGTGCAATATTATTTTGCTCTCTATGACCTCTTTTGTTTAACTTTTCTATTTCAAAGTCGGTGATTTTATACTTATTAAAAATTATACAAAATAGCGTACTTATTAATTATTAATCATTAATAAAAAAATAATTAACAAATTTTTTTAAGAACACAGCATTTTTGCAGAAAAATATCATTCTTTCTCTAATACTTTTTAAAGTATCAAACGTTTTTCTTTTATAAAATAACGTATTATAGACTCATCAGAATCTAGTTTTCAATAATAATTTTAACTATGGCATAACTAAAATATTGAATATTTTTTTTTTCTTGTAACTATTAATTTGTATTTTTACTAGTCCTGAATTTTTTGTAACGAATGTCATTATTTTAATAACATGATAGATCATGTTCATGAACCTACATATATGGCTATCGTTTAGACAATCGAATTCATTGAGATACTATGAGACCATTGTTTTTACTAATTACTTCACTATTTTGCAATAACAAACGAAAACCTTACGCATTCGACGTGTTTACGCAAACCTATTAAATAATCATCATATTTTTTTTTTTTTTTACGCATAGAAAACAATCTGTACAAGTATCACAATTAAAATATGCCATAAATTAATTATTAAAATGATATTTTTGAACAAATGCTCACTCTTTAGCGACTTTTGATTGGAAATTCAATGAAGTTATCAAATTGTTTTTTGTTTTATTTTTCTTTAGTTTTCCTGATCGAATGTGTATATTAACTCGTACTTAAGTATTTTTAAGCATTTGAGTAATGTCACGACAAATGTACGTAAAAGTTTGTAGAAAACTTTTAATTTTCACACATACAAAACACTGTATTTCACACAACTGTCATGTATTTATTTTTAGGTAGGTATTTATTAACTATTTCCACTTATTTTGCTTATAACTCAAGAAATTTAACTTTTTGTTTAAAACAAAATTATTGTTGACCAAAACATGAATAAACTGTTATTATATTCATTGAAGTTATGAATTCAATTCTATGCTGATACAGAATTTTTTAACAAATTAATACTATGATCAGTACTTTAATTATTCACGACCTACTTTTATTAATTTTCATGCTGTAAATATTAATCAAGCTGTGCTGAAATCTGACCTAGAATATTGTTCAAAAAGTACTTATTATTTAATTTTTGTAATAATTGGCTTTTAATTTTAACTGGTAAATATTGGGATAAAATAATGTAAATGTTATCGAATTTGTTAATAATTTGGTATAATAAATTAGCTTATAAAATTTGTTGAAATTAAAAAAATGTACTGTACAAATAAGTAACGGTGTGTGTGTTCATTATAAAACGATAGCAATAAGGCGCATTTTTAAAACTGAGTACTGTAAAAGTATTAAATATTGCATTTAAAAAGTACTTAGATCGATAAACGCGCGGCAACGTAAAAATACAAAAAAATTAAAATGTCGTCTCGGCATCAAGGAATATCAACCGGAAACATATATTCAGATAATATTGTCCGTCTGAACTTGTTTATTTTTCCCAAACGTACAAACAAACTGTATAAACTTCCTGTGCGGCAACTTATTATCATACGGTTGTTTTATTTATTTCTTCAAACGTCTCGCTTTTCATTGTTTGTATAATACACAACATCATGCGTGTGCGCTCGGGGAATTATAATATTACGATGACAAAACGAGAATTGAACGAGAAACTGACGCGTCGCGCCACGGCGACCGAAATTCCATTGATCTCCGATTAACCGAACGAGACACGTGCAATGATTCCGCCGCGTTAACGAGTCGAACTGTCCGTAATGTATTTCGCATTGTTGTCGGACATTAGAATCGTATTAATTCACCCGATGACCTAATGGGCGCGTTTTATCTATCTGCGAGCGAGTATCCCGTCCGTGCGACCACCGCCGAGCGCACGATTTGAGTTCTCGTTCATCGGGGTATGGTTGGCGGGTAGGTATTATTATTATTATTATTGTTATTCCTGAACGCGTGCACCGCTGCAGGAAACCCAACGCCCTCACGGACTGCTGCGCTGTGACCTCGAGTTCGTCCTGTATACATATAAAGTATATAATGGTATGATGAAAGTGGTTTTTGGCACGTCTCCCTGCATACTTTTGACGGTAAAACGCAAACAACTGCAAGTTTAAATGAGTTATAGTGCGACGCCCGCAGCTGGGCCGTAACAACACTGCACATATTATACTACATGGTGTGTACACGTATACACCACATATGCAAGGAAAAAAGAGACAGAGTGAAAGAACGAGCGAGAGGGAATAACGGGCGTAGTAGAAAAAACATCGAAAACGCATTACCAGGCCCCCGTATCGGATTCGTCGTTTTCACGCGTACACAGTCGTTACACAGACGACGTCCTCGAAATGTTCGATGGAATTATAAACGCGCCGACGACTGCAGGAGGGTACTCTGCGCGTTAATCGGTCGCTAAAATATCCAACCAAACTCAAGCCGACCGGGTACACGTATAAATTCTGTGTACGCTACGATAATAACATACAACGTCCGAGATGTATTTGCGTACCTGATATAAAATCAAAGGTTTTGTGTTTAAACAGTTACATCTGTTCTAAATAATTATAATCTGTCGTTTGTGTCTCCACCTAGACCCACCTACTGGCCTTCCCATTCAAATCGTAACCCGGACATTCTTGACTTCTTTATAGCAAATATTCCTAACTATCTAAATATAGCAAATGTCAACAATATCTGTCATATATCCAGTGACCACACCCTCGTAATTCTCTCAATTGATGGATCTCCAAAACTAAATGATCGACCCTTGCTCACTAAAGGTCCCATCGCTTGGAATTTATTCAAATCAAATATTGATAACTTAATAGATCTTAGAGTTTCACTTAAAACACAAGACGAAGTCGAAAATGCAACACAAAACTTAGTTGAAATTATAAAAAAAAAAACAGCTGTTTCTTCAACTAAAACTATCCCCTCTATATTTCCACTCAATAACATTGTTCCATATAATTTACATTAAATTAACTTTCATATAATAATACAATTATTTTATTTTTAATTTCACTGTTAGGCAAGGCAACTCTTTCTAGCCCCAATTCAATATCACTGTGGGTGTTTCCCAAGGTAGCGATCTAGCACCTGACCTCTATACCATTTATAATGCTGATAACCCTTAAACCCCCAACACACTATTAGCTACCTTTTCCGATGACACAGCCTTATTGTCCACAAGTGATGATATTTTTACAGCTGCACACAATCTGCAATATCACGCAAGCTTAATTGAAGCCTGGTGCAAAATTCGTTAATTAAAATAAACGAGAGCAAGTCAACTCAAGTTACCTTTACCCTTGGACATGGTATTTGTCCCTTAATCAAATTAAACAATTTAAATATTCCTGTAAGTAATGAAACTAAATATCTCGGCATTTTATTCAACAAGCGTCTAATTTGGGGCCCTCGACTCAAACACAAATGAAAAATAGCGAATAGTAGACCTTTTTCGACCTCCCTTAAATTCCAAACTCAAACTTAAATTAAAAATACTTTTATATAAAATCGTTATTAGATCATTACGGTCCTACAGTATCCAAATTTGGAGGTCAGCCAAACCTTCAAACATTCGCCTCTATTCAGTCATTTCAAAATATAACCCTTCGTACCATCACTGATGCACCTTGCTATGTAACAAATCAAGCTTTACATATCGACTTACAAATAGATACAGTAAATGTACTTTCAAAATGCCATTATAAATCCTACTATATAACACTATCAATGAATATTGACCCCTTAATTTAAAAAATGTCCACAAATCTTATCCCTCACCAGCCTCCACGCAGATTGAAGAGAAACTAAAATCCCAACCTATTACTCCGACAAAATAAATATAGAACTATACTATAGTAAATAGTTTTATATTGGGTATTACTGGTGTAGGACTTCCTCTATCAAGTGACTCATGTTTCATATTATATATTATCGTTATCACAATAACTTATTGTACAAATGTGTATAGATTGTCTTTTTCATTTTAGATAAAAAACAAAAAAAATGATTACATAGTGATAACGAAAAACGTATTTTTACTGCCACTCGTTTATATTGTAGTCTAATATTTCGCGGTCGTGTTTCAGATCAACAAGGTGAGGATCATTCGACGCAATACCGGCTTAACTGTATAAAATGTCGTCGCCGTCAACGTCGTCGGTGGAGTTGATCGAGCAGAAAGTCGCCAGGTTTGAATCGTTCATTAACGACGTGCTCAAGGAGAGCCTGAAGCAGATATTCACCACGTTGGAGGTGGTGAACGAGGAGATCATGGACCTGGAGCAGATGGAAATGACCATAGAGACGATGACCCGGCTGGCGGCCGACGTGCCAGCTGGCAAACCGTTCAAGACCCGCGTCAACGTGGGATGCGACTTTTTCATGCAGGCGGACGTGGACGTGCAAAAGTTCATGGTGTGCGTGGGCCTGGGCTGTTACGTGGAGTTCACCAAGGACGAGGCGCTGACGTTCATCCGGTTCCGGGCCAAGAAGCTCAGGGACCATGCGGACGAGCTAAGGGACAAGGGGGCTCGGGTCCGTGCCCAAATCACCCTGGCGTTGAACTGCATACAACAGGTGCAGGGTTTATAGACGATCGCATTGCAGCCTAACGTGTCGTTACGATGTCGCGGTGCTATCTGGCGTGCACGTAATGTGCATAAAGCGTGAGCGTCATTGCGTGAACAACGCTCATATTATATTGCGTACTGGTTTTTGTTTTTTTTTCTTTCTATCGCATCGTAAATGAATAATGATAATATTTTTTTTTTCCAATTTTTGTGTCCATTTTTCACTGCATTACAATATCGTATTCCCAATAAAACAATCTGGGTTTTTTTTTCCGTTTTCGGCCGGATATCCGTTTTTTATCGTCGCGGCACAACAGCTGTGAGGTTCCGGAACCCCAGCAAAGAACTTGCGTTTTTAGCCGACACGTATTCTTTATACGTATACGTGTATAAAAAAAACACAAACACACACACAGACACATTTGAAATCGTTCGTTGCTATCGTGTGCGTGACGTACGCGTATTATATGCGCGCGTGTGCGTACGACGTATTATGTTATGTGTATATATATATATATATATATTTATAGTTCCTTATGCTATGGGCGGATCCGCGTTTTCCCTCCGCACTCGGCCGATGACAAATTGTACAAACATAATGTATCGACAGGACTTTGAACGTTGTACTCAAATTTTCTGAAGGGCGTTTTCGCGAACGAGAAAAAAAAACGAATGGAAAATATTATTTATACACACGCAACACGGCGGTAATTTCGTTATTTTAAATTGGCTGCACGGACGGCCCACGGAATCGGTCGCGTTCAATATCTCGCTTAATTATATTTTTAACGATGCGAATGTACGTTCGAATAGTAACAAATAATTTTCCGCTCGCCATTAGTTACACGTACGGTGCAGCGTGAAGAGTAAATAAAACGCACGCGCGAAGAATTCGGGCACCGTAGCCGGGCGGAATGATAACCGTCGACTACAAACGGAGAGTAATTCGTTTGTCCGCGTCGCGTAATGACTTTTATTTTTGTTTCGATATGCGAGCGTTTCGCGCTGAAACAGTTTTCCCTGGTGTGGCCGTAAACCGAAACGGATCATTAAACGGAAATCAAATACAAAGGGTTTGCGGACCGTGTTTGGAAAAATAATTTATCTAAAAGCTCCTACGCGTACGCACCGCCGTTCGTAGCGTATTCCGTGTCGGGGTCGAACTTTGTTATTGATTAGATTGTCCACGAACACGGTACAAATTAAGACATTGTTTTGTGCACGCGTAGAGACCGTCCGCGAGAAAATAGATCCAAATTATTTATTATTATCTATCTTGTATTTATTATCTATTTATTGATACATTTATCGGACATTTTCGTCGAACAAATTATAACGATTCCACGGAGTTTTAGTCGGCGGACAAAATTGAAATTTCTACGTATCGATCTGTGATCGGAGTGTAAAGAGCACGTACTTGACCGCAAGAAAATAACGAATTTGCACGTCGTATAAAATCCATGTACCGCCGAGGCCTGTGTTTGACCAGGAGTCGTGAAGGAACGATTCATCTCGGCCGACGGATAGCGGCGAGCGAGGGAAATGAGTAAATAATAATAATACTGGTAACAAAAGAAGCTATCGGTCTTTCGCGTTGGTTTTTTAACTTTTAGACTGGAGGTGACGGGTGCGCACCGTGTACGTGTACGGTTAGGTTACCTTACTTATTGATAAAAAATAAATAAACAAACGTTTGCGCGCGATTTCCGATAGGAAAACCGGTAATCGACTGCGTTAACGACCTTTTACGCACGTCTTGTCGCCCCGCGTATTAATGTGTGCTGCGAATGCATTATGTGCGACCCACTCGCATTTGCATTTCGGTGAAAGCCTCGAGGGGTCCGTGCTTGTACGCGCGGGGCGATTGTGCGCCGGCCGCGATGAAAAAAAATTACCTTTCTACGCGTCGTGATGGGAACTTTGTCCAGTCGTCCCTAAAAGAATCGTGTTCGCTGCTTCCGATGTCCTTACACGCGCGGTATATTTACCTCGGGGATGGGATTTAGGGTCCCCTGGTGCACGAATGCGCTTAAAATTCGGATTTGACAGTTGAATAGGGTGGCCCCGAAAAGACGTCGGTCATTTTAATCAGGTTTTACCGGAATAGAATGCTTCGTCGTGTGTACACGTCTCGCGGCAGAGGAACCTCGTGAAATAAATCGCATTGAAAGATCGGACGAGGTCCGTTGTGGGTAAATGTATACAAAAAACAAACCCGAACGAAACATACGTGAATAGACTCTGTTCGGAGATTAATAGTAATAATGAAAATAATAAAATTTATAAGTACTACGCGTTCCCTCGTGTCTACATTATGCGTTTCTTTGTATTGTAGTTGTGCGCTGCGGATTGGAAGTGCGTGCTGAAGGTTTCTGCCGTCGCGCCGAATGTGCCTGCCCCCACGGGGATCACATGTATTATTATACATTCATTCGACAGAACGAGACTGTAGGGTATGTATAGGAGAAAAAAAAACCAAAAACAACCCGTGTAATAATAATAAATAATAACAAGCTAGGAGAAACAATGGTTCGTTGTCGGCGAAATGTCGATGAATAAAACGTGCATTGTACGTTCGCGGCCGCCGACCCGGAGTGCGGAAAGGGATGAGATGGACGAGAGGAAAACGGCGACGGACTTGTACGTACATTATATCCCCGTACGCACGTGCCATACGTGTACGAAACACGGTCATAATAAATCGTACGTAAACGAAACTCTGCAGTTTCGCACGAACGTCCGTCGTCGTCTCCCGCGCACCGACGAACACATTATTATTTCGATTATTATTATTATTATTATCGTTGTACTTGGGCATCGCCGGATCTGAAATTCTCAAACACTGAATATACACGCGAATACATAATAATTAATCGCTATATTGCTTGAATCCTCCTCCAGCACATCATCTCGTACATCATGCACGAAAAATCCCTCCTCCCGCAAACCGATTGTCCTGCCGTGGGCGGTTCGGCCCGAAATCCGTCGGTCTTGGGGTCCTTGACTCATTGTTAAGCACACACGATCTTGTTCAATCATACGTCGCGTCATGGTTTTCTGTGCAACGATAGACGTGTCGTCCTCGGCTGCAACGTGATTATCATAATAATACATCGATTCGATTATCAGTTTTAAGTGAGTATGCCTACTGTACATGTATTCATTGAAATACCATACCATTAAAATACACTTCTCTACTACCGGTGATATATAGGTTAATACATTTTCTTTTCGTCCATCGAAATTCATTTGGACGAATTTACCGGAGAACGAACGGTCAGGGGATGTCTTTATATCAAACGACCATTCGGGTCCCGAAAAATATCGTGGTTGAATTGCGTATTCGTCTTGCAGTTATAACTTAAGTTAAATAAGCGTGTACAGTATGTACATTTGTCTTTGCTATTTACAATTAAAAGAATTATTATTGTCAGTATACGCGTACCTACTACCAAATTTTGAATGTTGAAACTACACTATTTTTGTGGCTTGACGTGTGGCCATTTTGTTTTAGCGTGGACGTACTTAGGAGTACCATTGTATCGTTAATTTGGTTAAAACGTATTTAATCTAATTCGTAAAAACACCACGTGTTCAGTGTTATTGATAGTAATTATCGTTTAATTATTAAACTTAAATGAGATTGTCACGTTAAGCATGCACGAAATAAGATATATAAATGTATGGAAATTAAATCGAATTCTTTTGAAACAGGCATGTGTTCATTGAGCCGTCAACGTTTGAACATTTCCATAACAGTAGAATAACAATCCGCATCAAATGGAAATGGGTGTGTTATCGGACTCGAATGGAAATGTTTGTGACTGTTGAATGATGAGAACCGATGCTGTACAGCAACTGTTCGATATGAGGCGTGTAGAGGTGTGTGCAGCGGCGTACGCAGAGGGGAGCTAACGGACTGAAGCCCCCTCCTCCATTATCCATATTTATCATAATTTGTTTTTGTGTTTACCCACGAGTTAGATGGTATCTTAAAATCACGATTACATCTGTGTGGATAACCGTGCTTTAGATTTTAATCATGTATTAACCTAATTATTACAATCATAGCCCATAGATAAAAATCGAATTGATGTAACCAACAGTCAAAGCATCGTTAGGTTATTTTTTCGGTTACACCAGAGAAAACATTTTATACATTGAAATGCCTAAAACCGTACTTAAAATCAACCACAATGAAAGAACATTTTAATGGATTAGGTATAGCAAATATCATCAAAAAAGAAGAAATTACCGAGTTTGAAGTTCTGCAACAATTTTCAAAAATCTAATCTAAGCGACTACAATTATTTGACCTTACAAAATAAAAATATATTTTATTGCCATTATTTTAATAATTAAATATTTATTATTAATTTTTTTATATTTTATGCTTAATATAAGTAAAAACTAAAAGAGCCTTATTTATTTTTCAATCTTAATCATATGATCGTTGAATATGTATTTATTTTCAAACCCTCTCCCCCCTCCATTGAAAAATCCTGTATACTTCACTCTGTGTGTGTGTGTGTGTGTGCGTGCGCGAGTGCGTGTCTACTGTCTACAGTATCTATACAAAAATGTACTTATAATGGGTGTGTGTATAATTCATATCCGGATTACGTGCACACGTGCGGATGAATATCGTCATGGACCACAATACGTTCTACAAAAAATCCACGACCAAAAATTCTTGAAAATTGTACTCGTTTATTTTCGAAAATAAACCGTCAGCAATACCGCCTGCAATTTTTATCGCAAAAAATGCTCCGATTCATTAAAAAATGTTGACGGTCGTCCCGATCTCGCGTCCCTACGGTGTACGCGAACCAAATGCTTTACAAACCCGGTGATCAGGTGACCGCAGTTTTCTCGTACAAAAACGCACGATGTTGAAACATTTTCGTCCCGTATGGTTAATCCGAAATTATTTGCGAGATTTATGTGTGCAACGCGCGTTCTCTTGGAGTTGTGTTCGAACGGTGAGTTTTAGATTGAAAAAAAAAAATTCTAGGTTTTTTTTTTCGTCCCCTTGTCACACGAAACATCCCCTGATGTACCGTAAAATCTATAACGTATTAAGATCCATTCCCATTGCTTCGGGCTGGCCGTCCGTGCCGGATCCGGGCCCGTAAACTATCGTTGGCGACGATTCTCTTTCCGGGTTCCCGGACGTGTTCAGGCCGGATCTGAAATTACCGGACAATGGTAGTAGGCTAGGTTTTATATATATATATATATATATATATAAAAAAAC